TTACTTAGTTAATTTTTTTTTTTTTCCTCATTAACCTTTAGTAGGTCTCAAAATTCTGTGACAGATTTTTGGTCAGGTTGTTTCCATTAACAAGTATTGATTTAAAAACTAATAACTTAAAACTGCCACATGATAAAACCAAATGGTCCAGCAAACATCCTCCTTTCCTTCTGAAGGTTTTACGATGAATTGTTATCATTAATTAGTCTTTTACTATTAAACTTAAGCTCAATTGGTAAGAGCTTGGTGTTACGACACCAAGGTCAAGGGTTCGGATCCCCATACTGGACAGCCACCAAAAAAAAAAAAAAACCATCATTACCATTAAACTTAAATTGAAATAAACAGTTCTGAGACCGTTCCTCCACCACTAAGACTGGGGTGGCAGGTATTAGGGATAATATTCATTTAGCCTTCTGAGCTTTCTGGGCAGGCTTGGTGACCTTGCCAGCTCCAGCAGCCTTCTTGTCCACTGCTTTGATGACACCCACAGCACCTATCTGTCTCATCACAAACAGCAAAATGACCCAGAGGAGGACAGTCAGAGAAGCTGTGAGTACACATGGGCTTGCCAGGAACCCTATCAATGAGGGCAACATCACCAGATTTCAAGAATTTAGGGCCAACATCCAGCTTCTTACCAGTAGAATCTATCTTTTCCTCCAGCTCAGCAAACTTGCAAGCAGTGTGAGCTGTGTGACAATCCAGTACAAGGGCAGAGGCAGCACCAATTTGGCCTGGATGATTCAAGATAATCACCTAAGCAGTGAAGCCAGATGTTTCCATTGGTGGATCATTTTTGCTGTCACCAGCAACGTTGCCATGATGAACATCTTTGACAGACACTTTCTTAACATTGAAGCTCACATTTCTCCGGGAAGAGCTTCACTCAAAGCTTCATGGTGCATTTCAACAGACTTCACTTCCATTGTAACGTTGACTGTAGTGAAGGTGACCACCATGCCAGGTCTAGTGGGCCAGTCTCTACTCAGCCCACAGGGACAGTACCGATACCACCAATTTTGTAGACATCCTGGAGGGGCAGATGCAAGGGCTTGTTAGTTGGATGAGTTGGTGTCAAGATGCAATCCAGAGCTTCAAGCAGTGTGGTTCCACTGGCATTGCCATCTTTACGGGCAACTTTCCATCCTTTGAACCAAGGCATATTAGCACTTGGCTCCAGCATGTTGTCATCCTTCCAACCAGAAATTGGCACAAATGCTACTGTGTTAGAGTTGTAGCCAATTATCCTAATGTAGGTACTGACTTCCTTAATGGTTTCCTCATATCTCTTCTGGCTGTAGGGTGGCCCAGTGAAATCTATCTTGTTAACACCAACAATTAGTTGTTTCACACCCAGAGTGTAAGCCAGAAGAGCATGCCCACAGGTCTACCCATTCTTGAGATACCAGCTTTAAACTCACTAACACCAGCAGCAACAATCAGGACAGCACATCAGCCTGAGTGTGCCTGTAATCATGTTTTTGATAATGTCTCTGTGTGCTGGGGCCTCAATGATAGTCACATAATACTTGCTGGTCTCAAATGTCCGCAAGGAGATATCAGTGGTGATACCACACTCACGCTCAGCTTTCGGTTTATCCAAGACCCAGGCACACTTGAAGGACCCCCTCTCACCTCAGCAGCCTCCTTCTCATTTTTCGATGGTTCTTTTGTCGACCCCACCATATTTGTAGGTCAGATGGCCAGTAGTGGTGGACTTGGCTGAATCTACGTATCCAATGAGGACAATGTTGATCTGAGTTTTTTCCTTTCCCATTTTGGCTTGATTTAGCAGTGGTTTTCATGATACCTGTGTTCTGGCAGCAAACCCATTGCAAAAAAGTGACTTAGTTAATTCTTTTAATGGTAAGGTACAAGTTTCTGACTTTTCTTAGCCTCCTAAGATTTCTTTTTGTTTGTTTTAAAATGTTTTTTTGTGGGGTTTTGGGGGTGGCTGGCCAAGCCTCCTGAAATTTCAACCCCACTCTGTGTGCTATATATCCCCCCTACTAATAGTAGAAATCAAGTTCCTAAAATATCTATCTGACCACATGAAAGGAAAAAGTAATTATCACTCTAAAGAGTATGTTAACCACCTAACAGTTGTATTTACCTTTAAAATATGTGAGGGCTGGTCAGTGAGCTCACTTAGAGCATGGTGCCGTAACTCCAAGATCAAGAGTTTGGATCCCTGTACCTGCCAGCCCCCCAAAAAGTTTAAAAAATAAAAAATATATGATATAGCTCTTGAACAATAAGAAAACTTTTAAAAAGACTAAAGCGTATCATTGTTTAAGGTTCTGAAACGGAGCCCCTTTCCCCTTCAAGAAAGAATGGCTGGGCTAGCCAGTTACCTGTTGGTTACAGGGTGGTGCTGATAACACCAAGGTCCAGGGTTTGATCCCTGTACCAGCCAGCTGCCAAAAAAAAAAAAAGAAGAAGAAGAAGAAGAATGGCTTGAGTGATTTGACCTGCTGCAGAACCTGGGATTATTTGTACTTAGTGCAAGATTCTAGGAGCTGGCTGTTACTTACTCCTGGGTGGGCCATAGTTTTAGGAGGGCAAGATGGACCTCTGCTACCATCTTATCCCGGAGTCTTCCACCTGAGCTGCTCAGAGCCTGTACTGGCTTCAGCTGGAACAACTCTGGCTTTTATATCTATATATTTTATATTGTATATATGTATATATTTTTTATATACATACGTATGTACATATACATAAACATGTGTTTTATATATTGAGTTTCCTACAGAGATTCTCTCTGAAATAAAGAATTCTGTAGGAAGAGGGGTGGGGGGCTGAAAGTCAATGATCCAACTTCATGGTACTGATGAAAAGCCCAGGTTCAGAGAAGTGACTTCATAATCTACTGAATCTCTTTTCTTGCCCGCCCAAGGCATTCCACCCTTTTCTCTATACATGCACACTGCCATCTTGTGCTCAAGCTATTTCCTCCACATAGAATGTCCTTCAACCTTCCTCACTCACTCAATCTAACACGATTGCACCTCAAACCTCAGCTCAACCGCTGTAATTTCATCTGTGAAATCTCCCCAGTCTGCCACCCCTAAGCCAACCCAGTCACATGCCTGTCTTTTTCTTACAGCTTCGTCTCTACTGGAGCAGTCTTCACACTCTGTGGTCATGAGCTGCTTGTATGTCTGTTTTCTCCCCTAGACTGCAAGCAGCTTAAAGACAGGTTCCATGTCTCATTCGTCTGTGTACTTTCCCTTGCTATACAGTAAGTGGCATACAGTGGGTATATGCCTTGCATACAGTAGGTGCTTAATAAACATTGATCGAGCCGGACAGTGTCTGAGTGAATGGCCCCTAGTCCCTTGCTCTGGCGCTGCCACACTCCGAGAGCATGCCGATGGGGAGGAAGGAATCAGGCCTTGAATTAACCCTCTGGTGTGCTCTGCGGGCTTCCTCACATGGTGTGGGCTCTCTTAACTGAGCTAAATCTGAAATATTTGTGTCCCTCATTTGAAGTGGTTCAGCCTAGCATCTAGAGAAGAACAGAACTGAAAGTTACGAAGAGAATGAAAGGTGATAAAGCAAAATGGCTCTATTTTCAGAAGAACGTAAAACCCATATTACTGCCTTGTGGTAAAAGTATCTAGAGGACTTTTGAGAAATTATCTCCCTCCCTTGAATCTCCAGTTGAAACGACTCAAAAAAGAATCCCAATTCATCCTTTCTTCCCTCACAGCCCTGATTACTTATTTAGTGGTTATACTAGAACAGAAGACTGGCAAACTGTTTTTACAGATTTTTTTCGTCTTTTTTTTTTAAGTATTGAGTAAAGAGGTGTATTTTTACACATTTTATCAACTCTAAGATGCCAATAATTATAAAGTTCACCATGTTTTTACATACCTTGAAGAAAGAAAACCCTCTGCCAGTTAAACCATGACATGATTTCAGAGAAATTATGAAAATCAGGGCTGGCCAGTTCATCTGGTTAGAGCATAGTGTTATAACAACAAGGTCAAGGGTTTGGATCCCCATACCGGCCAGCCACACACACACAAAAAAATCTGATAAAATATGAAAATCGAAGTGTCTTAGGTTGGTGAAATACAGTATAGCAACACCATAGTTTGTTGTTCAATGATAATCAGTTTCTTCATATGTTACATGAGCAGTTTAGACCAAATGTGCACTGAGAACCCTTCAGGTCCCAACCCCCTTGAGTTCTACAATCCCATGAAGGGATGTTCTTGAGTTGGCCTCGGTGTGTTATGACCACCAGAACAGGAGTCCTGTCCAGGTTGCTTCTGTCCTTTGCCCTTTAAGAGTTGAGGGTCCCCATACTGCAGTGTCCACCCTCAGGACTGACCCGCCCACATTATTGTGAAAAGGCTCCAAGACAGCCCACTTTGATAAGGAAGAAGACACTGCACTTAAAGCCTGGGGAATCTGGCTAGCACACAAGGAGGCGGCAGTGCTTGCCAGACTATGATTCCTCTGGGAATGGCTCCTGTAAACACAAAGCTTTCGTTCAAAGTATTGAATCTAAATTGGCATACAAGCCTGGGGAATCTGGCTAGCACACAAGGAGGCGGCAGTGCTTGCCAGACTATGATTCCTCCAGGAATGGCTCTTGTAAACACAGAGCTTTCGTTCAAAGTACTGAATCTAAATTGGCATATAGTAGAGTGATCATACATCCCAGTTTGCCCTGGACCATCCCAATTAACTCATTTGTTCCAGTGTTCTTAATATCTCCTGCTACAGTTGAGAGTATGTCTGCAGACTGATCGGGGAGGTAATTGAGGCAGGTGGTTGCCAGTGTCCCTTTGGCTAATAATGGTCCCGAATGGTTTGAGAATCATTAATCTCAAGATTTTTTCAGTGTCTGATTGGCTATGCAAGGTGCTAATGCTTGGTTATGAGCCCTTGAGGTATTTGAGCACTAAAGCAAGAAATGTCAACAAGGTGATTGACTGAATCGTTAGGACAGCCATCACCCTTGATCCAACTTAGCTCTTAGTAGAAATTATGTCTTTGATTTTACATTTTCACACTTAAATGACTCTGAATGTTGTAACTACTGCATTTTGCAATCAATAGCATATTCCAATTAGAGAACTCCAATAACATGTTCTCCTTCCTAGGGTCCAGGCTCCCATCTCCTTCACAAATTGAAATGAAGGCTGAGAGGGTAAAACCAGTGGGTCTTTAGGAGACTGTGTATGAAGATTTGACTTGGGCATTAAACACCTTTGTTTTCTGCCTCTTCCCACCAGGAGAAGTTGCTCCAGTGCAAGGAACTGCATTCGACCTGAGAAAGCCAGTGGAGCTTGGAAAACACCTGCACAAGTTCCACATCAATGGTTTTGACCACAACTTCTGTCTGAAGGGATCTAAAGAAAAACATTTTTGTGCAAGGTCAGATACTTTTCACTTACTACTGCTTCTGTAGGGAAGAAGAGACACCAACTCCTATTCGAGGAGCTTTTCCTCTGGCCATATCATAGCATTTAATATGCTACAGGGGACCAAATACCACATCCCATGTCTTTTCAAGGCTCCTATGCCACAGGTGAGCTCTGTAGAATTTATCCCCTGCCCCCACCTGCCACTATCCCTGTGCCCACTATTCAGCATCCCCTCTCCCCATCTTGGCCTATTCTTTGAGACCCATTTTCTATTAGTAGCTCCAGTCCTTCCCACTGAAGTCACCTCTGCCTTCACTGAACTTGCAGAGCCCTTAGTACTTCCTCGGTTTGTGATCTGTGCCCTGCCTACTCCCATGGAAGGATGGCGGCCACGCCTGCCTTGCAGCGTCCCACCTCCAGCCCTGTGTGATAGATGTTTGTGCACACACGCTTTCCTTCTCTCTATATTCCCAGCTCCTCATGCCACTTCATCTTTGTGAGTCCCTACCTCTACCCTAACAGCTACTATCATGCTTGGCACTAGCAAATAATCAGTGTTTGTAGAATGAATGGATTTTAAAGAAAGCAGAGACAATGATTCAATCTTTAATAGAGACAGGAAGAACTTCAAAAACCTCGTCTGCCTCAGAGTTCCAGCACCAGGCCCCAGCACCAAGACCCCAGTGGTGTTCCCCCAGCTCCAGCCGCTCTCCTCCTGTCTCTTATTCACATCTCTCCTCCCTACCCCACCCGAGGAAGCCCTTCCACCTTCTCCCCACTCCCTCAAATCCTGGCCCTCCTCTTCCCAACACCTTTCCCTGAACCTTTTAACTACATACTGTGTTTTGCCTCTCAGTAAGACTGTAAGATCTCAGACTTTCTTTATCTATATCCCTTCAATAACAAGTATAGGACCAGGGAGGAACTCACCTCTGTAGAAGACAGGTTTAATAACAAAAAGGTGGGGGTTGGTGAATCTAATAGAAACCCACAGCAGAACTGTCCTAGGGGGAGACCTGACTGAAAAACAGCTTGCTGAAGCCCCAGGGAGGGGTACAGTTTAATTTAGAAAAGCATCTCTTCTCTTTCATAAGACATAGCTACTTGTTTCATCAGGCCAAGTAGAGAGTTCTGATTCTTTAAGAGAAAGAATCTCAGCCTCTCCAGGACCCTAAAACTGCCTCTCTCCAAGCTGGCTACTCCCTGCCCACCCTACTCCCCAGGTGGCTGGCAGGAGTCTTGTTTTGCCCTTCCCAAAGAAGCTAAGATCAGAGTGAGAAGTTGACATTGAGGATCCTCAAAGCCACCTGCTCATGCCTCACCTATGAGACTGGGAGAATTTTCCATCATGCTCTTCCTACCTCCATCTCCTCCTTAAATCTTGTCCCTGCTTTGTGGCTGGGTCCGATTCCTGTCTCAAAGTTGCTTCCCAGCTTCTGTTCTTCCCTGCCTGCTTTTCTGCCCTGGGCTCATAAGTGGTTTGTCTGTATCTCCAGGGTACATCATGCTGGAAGTGGGCGGGTACTAGAAGTGTATACCACCCAGCCCGGGGTCCAGTTTTACACGGGCAACTTCCTGGATGGCACACTGAAGGGCAAAAATGGAGCGGTCTACCCCAAGCACTCTGGTTTCTGCCTGGAGACCCAGAACTGGCCTGATGCTGTCAATCAGGTAAAGTCACAGGCTGGCTTGTCAGAGTGTTGCTGTGGTCACATCATTCAAGTCAGGCTGTATGATTCCAAAGTCCATGTTTGTTTTCTTCTCTAATTCATGATAAACACAGAAAACCCGTAGCCAAGATACTGACATGGCATTACCTGTCTTTTTTTTTTTTTTCTTTTTGTCTTTTTTCGTGACCGGTAACGGGATCGCAACCCTCGGCG